ACATGTAAGAGCAGTGAGCTAAATAATGAAAATGTTAGTTTTAGCATTTTATTTTACACTTGGCACCCCGTGTGTAAGCACGTAACTTGATTAAAAAAAGGATGAAGTCTAACRCACTGAAGTGATTGTAGAGATGATCAGAGGGTTTGAGTTTTTCCCGTCATCACTGGAGCAGGGGCTGAAGTATGGGAACAGTTTTCCTCTGAACTTACACTTGGTGAAGGAGTAAATGGAGGCTGCAGTGTCCGGATCATAAAAACAAACCAGACCCTTATTATAATCCACAAACACGCCCACCTTCTGGGGTTTGGACTTCAAACAGAGAGGGACAGAAGGTCCAGCAAGAGCTCTGTAGTGTCCACTCCTTAACCACACGACCCAGTACCCGTTTTCAGGACAGATTGTGTTCTCGCTTTTCCTGTCGATGGACTCTCGGACCACTCCSAGCTCCCACTTGGTTTTCTCTTCAACCTGAACCTCGTAATAAAACCTTCCCGAGGAGAAGCCCTGCTCTCCGAGGACGGCGAACGAGGACAGTCTCTGTGGTTTGTTGGGGAGGACCTGCTCGACGTCACCACAGCTGACCTGTTTCCGGTCCTCGGACAGGACCAGGTAAGGGTCCGCCGTATCGTGGTCCAGAGTCACGTCCACTGAGTGCAACCGCGCCCTGGACAGCTCAACCTCAGCGCACAGCTTCTTCATCCGTCTCCTGAGCGTCTCCAGTTCTGCCGCTGCCTTCCTCACGGTCCCGTCACAGGAGGACTGAACCTGGATGTTAGTCCAGTCCCTGGTTTGGACTTTCAAGGGCGGAAGGTTTTGTAGCAGCTGAAGGTGGTCCTCAGTTTGAGAGAGGGACTTCAGCTCCAGGTTTTTATCCATCAGCTCAGAGATCTCCTCCTCCAGCTCTTTTATGAAGCCTTCAGCTCGTGTCTCGGCTGCTTTCTGCTTCTGCTGGATCAGRTCCATGAGCAGGTCCAGGTTTTGGCGCGCAGATTGAATCAGAGCGGCGCAGTCCTCCACCACAGCCGCCGTCACGCCCTCCACGTCTTCCTTGCCAAGCTTCATGGACTGTTTGATCCGCTCCAGCTTCAGCAGCCTGTCCTGGATCACCAGCTGGACACCGGCGCCGGTCTTCTCCAGCTCCTCCTCCTTTTTACCCTCTTCCCTCAGAGGGACGACCTGATGTCTCTTGTGATCGGACACGGCGCAGGATCGACACACGGACGTCTGATCTGTCCTGCAGAACATCTCCAAGCGTTTCTCGTGCTTCTTACACACCCTGTCCTCCAGGTTCTCCACAGGATGGCCCAGTTTGTGTCTCCTCAGACCCGAGACTCTCCGGTGAGGCTCCAGGTGTGTCTCACAGTAGGAGGACAGACGGTCCAAACAGGACTTCACAGCCTTCTGTTTGGGTTTAGTGCACATGTCACAGAGGACATCTTTGGAAAGTCTTCTCTGTGAGATGCTCGCTGCTGTCTGTCCAGCTGAGGACCTGACATAAGCAGCCGTCTCAGACGTGACGGTGTCTGTCCGCAGCACTGGTCTGGAGTCAAACAGCTCCTGACAGACGGGACACTGCTGCTGGACACTGGTACTACACAGGCCTGTAATGCAGGACTTACAGAAGCTGTGTCCACATGGTGTGGTGACCGGATCGGTGAACACATCCAGACACACGGAGCACTGATCTTCAGACAGGAAGCTGCTGCCAGTAGCCATGTTTACGCACTAAAACAAAAGAATGAGACATCATCGACATGTAACACGTTTTAAACTGCACTGAGACAGATGTAAAAGTGAGCTTAAGGTGAATTAAGCTTTTCCCACATCTCTCATACACAAGGTTAAGAGGAAACTTTTACCAAGGTATTTCTCATTACTTGTTAATATCTTGACTGTGCGAAGTGAAAAGTGACACAATAAGTGAACGTTCAGGCGAGTTCAAGTTGATTCATAAAAGACTATGCAATCATTTATTTACACAAATTGAGCAGATCATAAGTTACACTTGATTGTGGTTAWTCCTATAACAAGCRTCAGTTAAATGAGATAAAACCCACGTCCGAATTTAAATTCACATCAACTCAGATTTCTTATATAGAACAGTAAAACGTCAGTTCTGATGTTAACAACCAAACAATTTTACTGGCACTTTTAGTTTAAGTTTTGGCAAATTAAGAACAAGGAAAGGAGGAAAGTAAGATTAGTATGTTACTACGACTTTTACTTTT